TTGACCCCAAAAAAAAGTAACCATAAAAGTGTTTTAGAAAACGACTTCATGACACCACAAAAGTCCAAGGCTATGTTTGCAATGTAGATAAAGGTTGTACAATGAAGAAAACAGAAGTTAGTCCTTTATGTTTGCCTTTACCTTGGACAATTAAATCTTTACTTCTATTTAGAATATATAATGGAAATATACATAAAAAGAGGTTTGTACAAAAACCTTAAAAACTCTGAGTTTGAAATAGTATTGTCCCTGAAAACTTATTTCCTTCAAAATACCACATCCATTTTTCTCCCTGTTTTGTTTTACTGGCATTTTCTCAGCTCAAACAGATCCTAAGAAAAAAAGTTCTTATGAAAAGTTGGAAAATAATTCTAGGAAAATAGATTCATGTAAACAAACAGAGCCTCAGTGGAAAGATGAGTTCAATGAAATATGGTTCACAACCTCTCGTGTATTCTTAAGTACATCTGCAGAAAGGCGCAACCAAGCAGAATAAAGGACAGATTCGTAGACGGTCAGATTGGGGGAGTGGATATCATTTTGTTCACAGTATCCACTAACTCGGGCAAAAGTTGATTGGTTCTTCGGGTATCCAGAAATGCTGATGCTACCTTCAACGTACCCACTGGTTTTTCGTCCGGCCAAGACATCCATTAAGGTTGTCTTTCCAGCACCAGTGACCCCTACAAGAGCTGTCAAGACGCCAGGTCTGAAAGCACCACTAATATCACAAAGGAGCTGGAGACGATCCTCCTTCATTCCTTCACCCTTCATTTGCTGTGTCCATATTTACATCAGTATGCAGAAAAGAAGCAATTCAGCACTCTGCCCCAAAAGAGCTCTCAAAAGAGAGCAGATGGGATAAAACTGCTTATAAAGGGCCGTTTAATCATATTTATAATCAGTCAATATGGGATAACTCCAACTTTGTTCAGAAAGAAAAATGTTGTAAAGTAACCGCCAGCCGTACAGTTGGTAATAATTCAAATAATGGAAATGGATTAGGGTACTTGAATAACTTCTTACAGAGGGCATATCCACATAGTAGTTAATGTGGCTGAAGGAAAGTGACAAATGGTCAAAAGGAAGAACCATTCCTTTCCTAGATGCCTGGATCGCTACGGCCTGGGGTTTGTCTTGTGAAGTCGTACCTACAGTTATTACTTAAAGTACATTAGACCAATAATCTTGAATGCTAAGATTGTTATTTAGGACCCTTTTAGTAAGAGTTCTTTGGCTGAAAATGACTGAATTTGCTAAATTTTCTGAAAGAAGGTGTTTGGTTGCAACAGTTTCAGCCAAATAAAGTAAAAGCTTCTTATCCTCAAATAAGACAAAAGTGTCTACCAAACGGGCTCCCTGATTTAGATCGAATTCTTATAGAGTGACAAAAATGCCAAACCTTGATATGACTTTTTCCCCTTATCTTCTACATATTCATCAGAAAGTGAAACCTTTGACTCGCTGAAAGCTGAAATATAGAAGAGAAGTACAATAACAAGGCTAGTTGGTTAAGACGTTTATAAGTAAGTATTCATATGATGGTAAGATCTACTTACGGTTTAAGAAAGACAATGCTGCAATAAATAGAGCGTTGAAGAGAAGGGAAAATCCCCAGAGGGCACCGTTGCAAATCCAGAACCAGTAGTCATCAGTAACGAAATTCCTTTCCTTGAGAATCGCTCTCCCAATTGTAGGTTCATCAATTCTGGGATCTGTATTTGGCTGCATGATGAACAATTATAAGTTTCACCCGCAGCAACTTATGATTTTTAACAAATTTCCCATATAGACAAGAACTAGTGTAAGAACTTACAGCACCCCATCTTTCGTGAAGGAATTCATTTGTGGCTAATGCATTTTGCACATAAGTCATAGGAGAAACATAATAACCCCATTTCATCCAAGGCTTAATGTCATCTACATGCAATCAAGAAAGCACTTCACTTTGAGAACACTCTTAGGGGTGTTTGATATGACTTAAAATAATTACTTTGCATGTGAAGTGTAAGGATGTAAAATGTTTGCACTGTTTTGTTTGATTATTTAATGTAAACTGTAAGGCACTTTTTTAAAACATTTCGCATTGTACCATGTAAAGTATTTTAGGTGGGGGAGGGTGGTAAAATACTAGCACTGCAACGACTTTGCGTGCAATTTAAAAATAAACTGCACATCTAGCCAAACATTGTAATCTATTTTACATGCAAAATGATTGCTTCCCTATAATTTGCATGCAATCACTTCGCGTGCAAAGATTTAACGTGTAAACTACCAAACGAGCCCTTATACTAATAATATAATCAATAACGATGTGAACTCGTACTTAAGAAAAACTAAACAAGACTCATAATATGTAAGACCATAAGCATGCACGAGTCTCAACCATAAAACATATGTTATTAGATTATGAGGCTCATCTCCTATATAAAAAAGAGAAAGAAAGGAAAAAAAAGGCTCATCTCCTATATGGTGCGCAATATGTGGTCAAATTACAGATAAGAGACTCTAGCACGATTTACTAATGTTATTTTTGACCAAAACACATTATATAGAGGCTGCTAAATTATCCAGCAGTCCCTTGTCTGATCTCGACTCAACCTCAAAACATCACAAAACATCCAACCCTTAATCCCAAAAGATTTTGGGGTCTTCTAACAGAATTGGAGCCAAAATAGAAGAAAGTAGAATAAAAAAAAGTATGATAAATCGAATAAGATAAAAATAAATATAAGATAACAATAACATAAGAACATAAGAAAGATAAAAGATAAAAAGATAAAAGAGATTAAGCAAGATAGAAGATAAAAATAACATAGGAATATAGAAAGATAAAGAAGATAAACGACAAAAGAAAAAAGAGAGACAAAAGATAGAAAAGAGATCAATCGTCCAAACAAATGTGCGCCCTCCACTTTGTTCTCTCCAAAGACATACTCTCATCCAACCCAAGAAGACACATATCAGTTCTGGTATGTTCACACATTCAGCGCAACATACGCATCTCTGTCACACAAATCTTTTATTTTGACATCGTTTCACCGTCCAACTCTCTACGCCATACATTAATGCAGGCCTAATTGTTCTGCGATAAATTTACCCTTCCATTTCATCCACCCACCTTTGATTCTATGTGATACATCTCCCTCTAATTCACCATCTTTCTGAATTATGGAGCCCAAGTAACGGAACATATCACACACTGATATCTCCTTGCCATCAAGAGTAATCTCATTGTTACTACTACTTCTGCCTCCACCAAACTTGCACTCCATTTACTCAGCCTTGCTTCAATTCAGTCTAAAATCCTTCGATTCAAAACATCAAATGCTTTAAAATTACTGAGAAAGTATCACATACCCTTAGCAACAATGAAGCCTCCGAGCACGAACACTAATAGCAAGGTAAATGTACCAAATGTGTTAGCAACAACATCTGTTCTCCCAAGAGCTGCAATGAATCGGAATAGAGATAGTGCCATCTGATGTGTACCAAATAATGTCAAAAACTGGCGAAAGAATCTGGAACACACATGAGAAAAGAAAAAAAGGTAGGCTGTCAGTCAAAATGAGATTAAATAACTTACATTATAGTTTCAGTCACCAGATATGAGGAACTCGTGAGTGTTAGTGACAAGGAAATTTAGAACGATGATGAGAATCACTTCATTTAAGCTGTCTCACATTAGAAAACTATTTAAAAAAAATAAACAAAAAACTCCTACTCCTATAGTCCTATCATGTAATCCTTCTAGATACGAAGGAACTTGAAGTCTTACAAGTTTAGTGTGCGACTTTCAATGGGGTTGGTGAATTCATTCATAACAAAGGACTGTTACCTTCCGGCAGAAGGAGCAAATCCTATTGTGTAATATGTAAGAACAACCCATATTCCCGATTCAATAAATGAGATGGGTATCCTAAAGAGCCAAATTGGTAGGACAAAAGCCCAAGCCGGATAGAACAAATGATCCCTTTGCTTAAAGAAAACGGGAAGCCTCATAACCGTCATTGCAATCTCAGCCATCCCATTAAACATCACGTTGATCAGACTGAAGAAAAGAGCCCCACAAAACTTCCCACCGTCTTGTAATCTCCCATATGGCATATCCACTCTCAAGAAAGCAGTGAAGGCACATATGGACATGACCGTTATCTGAGTAGTTTTGAAAATGTACAGAAAAGAATTGCGCTTCATTAGCAACCATTCCCTAGAGAAGCACGCCTTGAGTAATTCCAGGTTGGAGATGCCGTAGTTCCTTTGCACCAATGCGGCGGGATGGGTTTTTGACTTATCATAAGGAATGCTAAGCTCATCACCTAGCTTTTGCCCAACCCCGAATGAACTGAAAGCCTCTACGAATTCAGAAACTGATACATATCTGTATGGCTGGTCATTTCTGAACCAATATTGCTCTTGATCCTTCTTGGAAGTCACTTCTTGGAGAAAATCAGCAGTTCCCTTCCGTTCGGGGCATCTGAATCCCCTATCCTCAAAGAACTCAAGAACGTTTTCTTTTGGACCTTGATACACTATCTGGCCTTCTGAGAGCAATATTATGTTGTCAAAGAGATTGTATGTCTCGGGGGCAGGCTGTAGTAGGGATATGATCATCGTTACATCCATGACGCGCACCAACTGCCTCATGTATTTTACGATCTGAAAAGTTGTGGAACTGTCTAATCCAGTTGATATTTCATCCATCAGAAGAACTTTTGCAGGTCCAACCAACATTTCTCCTGCAAATAAAAAAAAGGTTTTATAATGATGATGACGATGACGATAATAAAGAGTTGCATAGGAACAGAATGCTAAAAGTTGTTCCGCTGTTGAAAGTATTACCTGTGGTTAAACGTTTCTTCTGTCCGCCAGATATACCACGCCTCATGTCATCGCCAACTATGATGTCCGCGCAGCCTTCCAATCCTAGAATCTGCTGCCCCAAGAAATTGCATGCAATAAATCCCCTCTATCTGTTAAATAACGTCATCCTGAAGGATGAACATTTTTGGGGTTGAAAAAGATTTGTTGGTCTGGCCGTGAAGGTTGAAGAACCTTACTTATTATAGGTGTCTGGTTACGATAGGTGTCGATGAAAGGCTCGTTTTTAAGCTTCTTCTTAGCTTAAACCCCTCAAAAGTTCATCTTAGGAAAGCATGAAAAAGAAATGAAAAGAAGGAAGAAGAACCTTGATGAAGTAATCAGTGGCCAAGCTGGTGTGTTGACCAGGTACTGAAATGGACTTCAAGAACGCATCAAGCTGAGGCTCTGGTTTGATTCCCGCTGCTCTCTCGCGTCTCGACAATTCTGCCAGAAGCTGATATATTGATCCAACCCCCAAACAGCGCCCCGAGAAATCCAATGTTTCCCTCACTGTCATCTCTCCGTGGTGAAGATCGTGCTGACTGATATAAGCGCATGTCTTCCGAGCCACAAATTCATCAAACTCATGTCCACAGTATGTAACTTTCCCGCTCTTCTGAGGGAGGGAGCATGGAGGGATATCATCAAATTCAATATTTTTTTCTAGAACTACTTTTTATTTTATTTTTGAGAAAGAAGCTACTTTTATTACTAAACAAAACTAGTCCATGTATTTTTAAAAAAACGTCAAATTGAGTTCATGTACTTCTTTCAAGTCAATCAAGTATGTGAACTATCAAAAAACGATCAAATCGGCTAATTAATAGGTAGACGATCGGTTATCTGGTTAACCGCCTGCGTGGACGTCCAACTAGCATTTTTTTACTCTTTTCTATTTTTATTTTTCTTTTCCTTCTTCTTTTCCTATTTCTTTTGCATATGCCTGCGTCTCCATTAATAATGTAATTATATAAGGATTACTATGTAATTTCCTAAACTCTGTTTTAGTATAAATATACCCTCAAGGCATCCAATAGGGTACACCATTATTTCCCAAAATTATTGTTTTGTATATGGTATCAGTCGCCTAGGTAATTTTTCCTTCTTAATCCCTTTTCCTCATGGCCGGTCATCCCAACCATACGGCCGCCACCACTGAGGCACCCGCCACGGCGGCGCAGCCCACTACCGGCGTTCCTGTTACAAGTGCAGTGCCCACTACCGGCGTTCCATCTCCCCGCACGTTTGCAACTCCATCTCCCTGCGTCTACAACTGCCGATCTATGGAGGAGGTGGTGGTGGTGGCTAACGGGCTATGGAGGCCGGTGTGGTTAAAGGTCGTTCCAATGGAAGAAGCGGAGGTGGAGTCGTGGAGACCGCGGAGGTGGTGGCTATGGAAGCCGACGCGATTGGAGATCGCGGAATTGGTGGCTAGGAAGTAGTACTAGTTATGCTAATACTCCAACTGTCCCATAAATAAGTTCCCGTTTCAGTTTACGATGTTTGATCGTAGATAAAGCGCATCGATCTCTGCCATCATTCCGATTGTTTTTAATAAATAGAATTTATGTATTCAGAAACTACATTAAAAATTCTACAAAGTAATAGATTAAGAGTAATTTAAGTTGACAAAGTAAATAATGATTGAGAGTGATTTAACTTCACTTTGGGACGAAGGTAATAATTTTTTGGGAACTCTTTTATTTGAACAATCTTATTTGTTATTCTTAATCCAATTTTTTTTAAAAAACAATTTTTTAGGGGAATAACTACATTTTAAAATATAAAAAATAATTAAATTGAAACCGGATAACCGAACTGCAACTGCAAGATTGGAATTCAAACTGTGTGATTCCAATTTAAATTCAAAACGTAACCAACGATGCAATTCTGGCTCCGTTCAATTTGGAACCGGGGGACATCCCTACATGGCTACATATACATCTTATTCACACACCTCTATATACAAAATATTTCCGTCCGTTTATTAACAGAGACAGTTTACACTTTTTTTTGTTTTCCATTCTCTAATTTTCTATTTTAATTTTCCGGTTTTTCTATTTCCAATTTTTGTTTTCATTTTCAGTTTTTCATTTTCAAATATGAAAACATGTTTCCAGTTCTCCAGTTTTCCATTTTCAAACAGTTTTATTTATTACGTCTTAGAACTGTAATATGTATATACTATAATTCTACATGCAAATGCGATAAGAAAATAATTTGATAAGGAAAAAGCGTAAAGTTACTTGAAATTGAGCCCAACGTAAACGTTGTTTAATTTCCTTAAGACGTTTTTGCCCGACACGTAGCAAGCGCCTCCCATGATAGAACAACTCTTCGCTACTAACGGGATTCCGACGAACTCAAAGATGCACGAAGGTAGAAGGAGAATTTCAAATTGTTGGTGGATTGATGTTCGGAAATTGAAGTATGGAAAATTGAAGGGGGTCTTGGATTTATAGTGCTCTCACAAGGACACACTTCCTGACTTCCAAGAGACACCTCTCCAATAAAAGGTGGGAACCTTTAATCAAACAAACAAGACTGCTCGTATGGGAGAAAAATCCGAAATTCAAAGAGAGCAAAAAAATAAATCTTCCTATCTAAAGTCCGATCGCTTACTGGTCAAAGACCTGAACTCGAAATCCGACTTCGCCAGCTGGGCAACGGCGGTGGTGCATACGTGTGAGAAATAATTTCACACTTATCTTTCGGGAGACAATTTCTCATTCATTTCAAAATGACTTCTTACAAATAATATTAATGACCATAATATTAATTTGTGGAACCATTTTTCCAACCCCCCATGAATGGGAAATTGGTTTAAAATAGGAAACATGTTGGAATTTGACAAAGGAAGACGGGAACTCTGAATAGGGTTTGGTAGCCGTGAAACTTTGTACCAACCTTAGTGTATATCCATCGGATTTACCGGACAATCGGTGAGCAATTTGCTTTGAACCGTTAGCCGTTACGTAAACCTAGACAATGAATAACACACAAACCCTCGAATGCATCTTTGGTTCTCACGTTTGTGTTCATTTCGGCCTTGAACACCTCCTGGTTCAACTAGTATTTTAGAGAGTTTATCGTGTACCGGAGAATTTATCTTTGGTCCAAGTTTGGTTCTTTTACGGTACCTGGTCCCGGATATAACAAAGTGGGATCGAAACTGGCCGGTTCCGATCGGTCGCAACGGGTAATTCGACTAATCCCATTCCTTTTGCCCTATTGCTTGGCAACCCGTAGGCTCTTTTGAAACTCTTCACTTTGGGAAAATGATTCAAAAAACGGGAGCCGAACCGCCGCACTGTCGACCAGACCGGACAGGGTTCGTCGGGTCATTGACCGGACTGGATTAGGTTCGCCTGTTCATCGACCGGACCATACAGGGATCGCCGTGTTGTTGACCAGACCAGACAGGGATCGCCGGGTCGTTGACCAGACCGCAAAGGGGCCGCCGGGTCGTTGATAGGAATGGACCGCTGGATCATTTACCGGGCCACACATGGATCGTCGGGTCATTGATCGAATCGGATCAGAACTGAGACTGGAGCATGATTGGGTCCACCATTAGGCGTAAGTGTGTAAATTCATTGCCCAAAACTCACTTGTCCAACTCATTAAACAAAGCAGAGACATGTCTCATTTCTTTGGTTTTGGAAAATGATATGGTAATACATTTTCCTGTTTTCCTTTCTCCAATTTTCCAGCAATTTTTTCAGTAAGCATGTTTTCTGTTTTCCTTTTTTAGTTTTCCAATTCTCTAAAAAAATGGAAAATGTCTATGTCAGTAAAGAGACAATTGTGTTCTCCTTAGGGCATCCACATCCCTTAAATTATTTATTGTTTAATTGAATGATGTGTAAGATTATTTTAAAGATTATCATTGTGAGTGAGAGATTATTAAGAGAGATTATTGAAAAAGATAATCCGGTATCAAAATTTGAATCCCGAACTATTTTAGGTTGTAGTTAAATTGCATTTAATACATGGTCTAGAAAAAACTAATTATTTGAGTATCAGAGTTGATGAAGAGTTTTAAGATTTGAGATTATTTAAAATTTATTGAATAAATGTGATATGACAATGATAAGTAATAAGTACTTGGTCAAATCAATTATCTCTTTCCGGTGGCTGGTGAAACATGATATTTTAGTTATAATTCTTTCATGTTTTCATTTGAATAGCAAATTCAGCAAAACTGTTAGACTAGACTACATTATTGCAGGGTTAGCGACTTGGAAGGATTAATAAGATCTTTTATGTTCTATGTCTCATCCCATTGTAGCCTTAGAAAATGAATAAGTAGTTATATGTTTGTCAAAAAAAAATGAATCTCTAATATATATTCATTTTATTATACTTCATTGATATTATCATACTCAACTCCATGAATTAGAAGTTGCTAAGTAATTTTATTTACATGACATAATTGTTGCGAATTGATTTTATTATAATTTGACACAAAAATGTTTGGCAAAATTAATACTAATAGAATGTAATATTAAAACTTTCTAGATATGAAAAAGCTAATAGAATATCCCGATTTGAATAATAATAATATAACTTTCTAGATATGTCAAAATTAATATTAATAGATCTAGTTCTGTGAATATATCAACATTTCTTACCTTTTGTAGAATATACAGTACTAAAGTAAGTTTATATTATACTCCGTATATACAGTACATACAAAATTCACTATTTTTGCACATTCAAACTCAAAAATTTTAGAGGAAAAAAAACATTATGCATATACAGTATTTAAACTAAAAAAATCATATGAAATTTAAACTCCAGGAAACCCCAAACACAACACTATTATTGTCAAAAAGAGAAGTAGGAATTTGATTTTAGGATATCCAAAAAGGAAAGTGGAAACTGTGAAAATTTAAGAGACGTAAATTATGGATACGATAGATGTACAAAAAATGTGTCCACCTACATGCGTAGTCTAGCTACTTTCTACATTATTACCTTGAAATCATCATCAAGCATCCCAGCAAGTGCTCGAAGCAATGTAGTTTTCCCTGAACCAGGGGGGCCTAATAGCAATGTCATCCTGAGCATATATAATCACATTATTATCAACAAAATGCAACATTGTATGTGAATACAGATAAGCCTAATTAACTAATTTGGGACAATGAATGAAATACGTACCTTGATGGTTTTACTATGCCACTCACATCTTTGAGTATTTGAACGCGTCTTCTTTTGGAAGGGGAAATGTAAGCCATCCTTAAAGCATTCTATTGTTCATTTCGTGAGAGGAAAAATTAAAAAAGATGGCATCAAATAAATCCTTGTACTATCAATTTGAAAGGGGAAATATTATTTCATATCTACTTTAAATAAATCCATAGTTTTTGGGAGGAAAACTATCAATTTGATCCTTGTACTATCACGAAACGACAATTAAGTCCTCGTACTTTAAAAAAAATCAATCGAATTCCCGATCATTGAAAAAACTTTAATTGAGTCCAGTAGAAGATTACCCGTCATGTTAGCAAGTCACATGAACCAACATGTTATCACACAAATATGTAGTAGCAACTAAATACGGAGTATGTGTTATTTTTAATATTTAATAAATTTAAGAATGTTTTAAAAAGAGGTTTTGTTTAATATTTAATGTATCATACAAGAGTGTTGTTAATTATTTTCTAAAATAGAAATGAAGACGGTGAAGATAATAATACTTGTATTGCTAGCATTTGCGTAGATGAGAGAGAAATACGGAGTTGGTTGAGTAAAATATTCATCCATACAAGAGAAATCCTAGATGTACCCCATTTTGGGGTACCTCACTCATTGAGTGACTCACAAAATCACAATCCCACAAAATAGTTGTCCACTTTAACTCATTGCCTTTGTGAACCACAAAATTAGAGAGTGAGTACAAAATGGGGTAACCTTACAATTTTTATCCATACAAGTCGTTCCCGATAAAAGGTATTAATCTGACTGAGTAGGCCCATTAACCTTATCTCATCGAGCCTAGTCTGAGCTGTCTAAACCCATTACCTTATCGCACGGTTATATAGAAAAATTTGGAGGAGCACATCTCGTATTCTGGTGTGGGATAACATTTTGGAAACAGTATTGAAAGTTGAAAAACAAGAATAGTACGATTCACTAATCGAACCCCAGACGTCAATTACAAAAAAAAGCTGCTGTAGATGATTCGAACTAGATTATTTTTAATTTGTAAATTTTCAGTTCGATTAGGCGCAAAACCATATTTTTAATGAAGAAGAAAGAAGAATTATATGCAACATTCCTATCAGTCTGAATGACACGAAGGATAACTTCTGGTGGAGCAAAGACAATAATGGCCTCTTCTCAGTTAAGAGTTGTTATAAAACATTAAAACTCTTATGCAAGGTGTGGAAGCAGGGGGCTAGGGTGGATGGAAAGATATGTGGGACCTAAAAATTCCTCCTAAGGTAAAATATTTTTTTTGGCAGGTGTTGGATGGATCTCTCCCTTCAGCTAAAATCTCGAGCGGAAGGGGGTACCTATCCCGATTGTGTGCAAGTTTTGTTCCCACGCAGAAGAGACGACGGAGCATGCTCTAAAATCTTGCCCGAAGGCGGCCGAAGTTTGGAGGGCGACGGGAGTGGCTCTCGGCAGCGGGGATGAATCTTTAGAGCCTTAGAGGTATGGCTTAAAAAACTTTTTTTGAATTCGGATAAAGAGTTGAGTTGTAAAGTGACTATGCTAGCATGGGGATTATGGAAGAGAAGAAATTCCCTAGTTTGGGAGGATGAAACGCAAGATACGGCCAACTTGTTGAATAGCTGTGTGTATGCATGCTTCTTGCGTGGAGGGAGGCACAGGGGGGCACGAAGCCGGCGGGCAGCAGGCATGGCAAAGGAAATCCCAGGTGGAGAAAGCCGAGAGCAGATTATTTGAAGATAAATGTGGATGCAGCAACGGATATTCAGGGGGGAAGGAGAGCGTGGGGTTGGATCGCAAGGAATGATCAAGGGGATTTTGTTAAAGCAGGTGGCGGGTCAGTGAGAGCCGATTGGAGTCCAGCGGAAGCAGGAGCAATGAGGATAAGAGATGTGCTTTTGGTGGCCATGGCGGAGGGATGGAGAAGGTGGAGGTGGAATCTGATGCACATGTGATTGTTCACGGTGTTCAACGCGGCGGCAATTTGGCTTATTTGGACTTGATCCTTGATGATATTCGAAATTTAGTTCATACAAAGAGTAATTTCTCTATCTCTTTTTGTCAACGGTCTGCGAATCGTGTTGCTCATAGTCTTGTTAGAGCACACGTATCTCTCTCAATCATAGTAGTAGTTATGATGTTATTCCGGATTGTATTGTAAGCCAATTGGCTAATGACCTTTTGAACTAATAATATTGCTAGTTTAGGTTTCAAAAAAATGTACATGAACCGATTCCAATCGATGTATTTTACAGAATTACAGGTCTCAATTTTTTAAATCTCAATCACATCGGAAATTGATTCAAGTTTTTTCATCACGTTTCTGCTCGATTTTTCTCAACGCTATTCATTTTTTTTCCAATTTGACTTTCGATTTTTCAATTCAAAATGACAGTCCTACCAGTAGAGTTTTTTTTACCAACCTACTAGTAGAGTTAGGTATTAAAAAGAATTTATACAATATCAACTAAGATTTAATTAAGTCGAACCCTAAAGAGGTTTTGCTCTAATCTGACAAATTAAAAATGAAAAGTTGAAAAAAAAGTTTGAAACTAAGAAAAGGAAAGAATAAGTGATGCTATCTTGAAATTATGGATTATCATTAATATTAAACAGTCAATGCTATCATTATCAGTAATAATTATCAGTAATTAATTCAATTTACAATAATTATTCTTATTGAAGGAAAAAATATAGCACTTCATCTATGAAAATAACATAATTTAGGATAAACTTTTAAATGAAAAAAGCAAAGTCAATAATAATTAATTACCTCAATTGCATTCATGGTGTAATTTGCTAAAGTGGGTAATGCTCTACTCCCAACAAGAGCCTCACCCACAACTGACAAATGCTCAAACCGTACTTCAATCTTCGGCATATCGATCCCGACTCTGCATCCCCATGGTACAATTTATTTATTTTAAAAATGTCGTTGTATGACTGAGTAAATTAAGTTGAAAATTATTGTCATCAGATAGTGTATACTACGTATAATATATATGCGTGTCAGCGTGTTTGTTGTATGATATATATGTGTGTGTTCAGGTGTGAAATATACTCCGTATTTAATATCAGAAATGAGAATTAATACTTATATCTCAATCGTTGAATTTAGCATATTGCACTAAAATAATTTTATGTTGTTTTAGGTTTAGGGCCTGTTTGGCATGATGTAAAGTTAACAGTTTGCATGCGAAGTGTGGGGAAGTAAACATTTTATACTGTTTGTTTTAAATATTTAATGTAAACTGTAAGTCATTTTTTAAAAACACTTTATACTGTACCTAAAATTTACAAGGAATAATGACACCAATATTACTCCCAAAGTTTCTAATTTCAAAAATATGACCACTTTAATTTTTTTCCATAAAACTGATCCATCACTTAATAGAGTTTCTACGGAGTATATTTCGCACGCGACTTCTCTTCTCCACACGGCTTGACCTCTCTCCAGCCATGGCAGTTCTCTACCCGCACAACCGACGTAGCTTCCTCTCTGCCGACATACGCTACCGGACATGGTGCCACGCCGATCTTTCTCTTCTCACGGCCATGACGACTTCTCTCCGCCTGTCCTCCTCTCTAAGCTTCATTGTGCCTATCTGTTGCATCTCCGCTGGCCCACCTCTGAAGAAGGTCGGCGAACCTCGACATAGGGATATGCCTCTCCGATCTTCCTGTATTCTTCTTCTCCTTTCAGATCTGGGGGTTTTCCTTCTTATATTTTCCAGATCTGAGTTCGTAGCTGGGTGAGTCAGGTGGGATACGGGTAGGGAGGTTTTTTGGGCGAGGCTTGGAAGTAGATGTGACTTGAGGGGCTGGGGTGCGTCGTTGCTGGTCAGACAGGGCTGGGGAGGGTGATGTGGGGCTGGGCCATGTGGTTGGGGGGGCTGGTGGAGGGGACTGTTCGCGCCGGAATCCATGGTGGTGGGACCTGATCAGAGAGCTGATTGGGGGAGGTCAGGGGGCGGGGCAGGGGAGCAAGGGAGGGGATTGGAGGGCTGGTGATGGAGACTGCAAGGCTGGGAGGAGGGCTGCGAGGGGGCTGGCGAGTTAAGTTGGGGTGGGGCGGTGCTGACGGTGTTGGTCGGCGGCAGTGGTCCATGGTCGGTGACGGCGTTGGGGCGAAATAGGCGGGTGACGGGGCTGTGAGGAGCAGGGGCAGGATGGGGCGTGTGCCGTGTGTCACTATATATGATCGAAGTCGACATGTCACCGTGGCGGTGTCACCGATAGTGTTCGTGTCACTATGATGGTGTCACCGGTGACGGTATCACTGTGGTCGATCGGCAGACGGTAAACACAGTGGAATGGAGTCACTGTAAAAATGTTTTCGTTGTGTCACTGACTCACTATAAGAATTTCACTGTATATGTAGCAACGTCACTATAGCAACGTCACTGTAGTATTGTCACTGTAGCGCGGTTACTGTAGCGCCACTACAGTAACCGTTACTGTAGCGATTCTGTTAGTATTTTAATCACTTTTTGGGAAAAATAAGTTAAAAGTCACTTTTTGGTTAATCGGACTCCATTTATTAGTAATATTAGGGTCAAAACCCCAATTTACAATTTAAACCTGCTCCGTATAATTTAGAGACGCCCGGGTAAGGCGGTACAGCAACAATCTCGGCCGCAATGCATAGTAAAAAAAAAATCATCAACCATTCCTCCATATTAGCTGGCATTGTATGCACGTTCCAAGATTAGTTTTAATACCCAAGTTTATTTTGTATTCTATATTATTTTTTTATATTCTATATCATATACTGTATATAATATATTTATATATACACACACGTAGTATATTCTGTATATATAGATATACCTGTGTTTTTTGTTCTTATAGATGCATAATTTTGAGGAAGAGAGCTGATATCGAAATGAAGTTCAACAATTTTTTAGTATTTCTTCCTTGCACCCTGTCCCGCTCTCTTCTGGTAGTTTCATACGCATCTTTCATTTCTTTCATTTTGTTTGTTTGTTTGTTTATTAACAAACAATGTAAAGAATTTGCGTGTAATTTAAAAATAGATTACACGAATAATCAAACGATGTACCTCGTATTTTTATTCTACATGCAAACTATTTCACCGCCCTAAACTTTACATGCAATCACTTTATCTGTAAAATTTTAATGTGTGAACTATTAAACAAGCCCTTAAATTTGACAATGTTTCACTAAAACAATTTCATTATCCAGCAAGTGACACAACACCACATTTCCACAACTACTTATGAAAGTGTCACCTCACAACGAGTCAAATGAAGCTTTTTATTGCAACATAATCCAATTCAACATCTAAGATTCATTCTTATTTATCACCAAATAAGACTAAATTAGTAACCAACTTTTATAAATTTTATAAGAATTTTAGTGACAGAGGTTGTACGTCTTATATTTTTAAAATAAATACTACGTTACGTACTACTTATAGGGAATGTAATTATTAGGAAAATTACCTTAAATAGGATTAAAATCGTAATATGAGTTAATTATCAAAATAGGACTAAAAGCTTGTTAGTTTGCACAAATAGGACCAAAAAGTAAACTATGTTTTGATAGGACTAATTATGTATGTGTTGGACAAATATACCTCTGTTGCTATTGAAATGTTTTAATTCATAATAAATTAATAATAAAAAATAATAAGAATTTGTAAAAAATACTAAAAATTAATAAAAATATTTAAATAATAATAAGTTAAATTAAAAAAACTAAAAAATTTTAAAAATAAAATACGCAAAAAATAAAATAAAAAATCACCACCGCCTCTGCCTCCCCAGCACCACCACCTCCAGTCACCAGAGGGAAAATGCCAAATTCATTATGAATGCCGAATTTATAGCAGAAAATAATGAAAATGTTGGCATTCTCAGAGAGTAATATGCCATTTTTTGGCATTTTCAGAAAAAATGGCAGTTTTTAGAAAAAATGACATTTTTTACACCGGTCAAAGGTGGTGGTGGAGGGAGGCAGTACCACAACCTCGGGTCACTGGGGGGAAAAATGTCACTTGCAATAGGAATGCCATATTTTTTGCAGAAACAATGAAAATGTTGGCATTCTCAAAGAGTAATATGCCATTTTTTTGAGCATTTTAAAAAAATGACATTTTTTACACCGGTCGGAGATGGTGGTGCAGGGAGGCAGTACAGGCGGTGGGAAAAGCATCCATATATTTTTTAATTTTTTTATGGAGTTTTACTATTTTTTATTAATTAGAAAAACTGTTTTTTTAATTTTATTTTATTTTATAAATATTTTGTTAATTTTTTTTTATTATTTTTCTACGTTTTTTTGGTTTTTTTCGAATTTATTATGAATTAAATATTTAATTAGGACTTTTGACTATATTTTACTCATATTTAAAGGAAGGGTAAGAATGAAATGAAAAATAGGTATGTTTCCAATAGGACTAATATGGTTCTATTTTGAAATAAAAAACATAGCAAGTGTTAAGACCCGGAGTTCCATTCTAAAAGGTCAACCTGATAGGAGGAGTAGCCTATGTGTTAATATATCCAAATGTTTCCGGTGTGGGACATTTAACACCCCTCATCACGACCAGACACTTCGTCTGGATCATGCAATCAATCATTTTTTTTCGTCTGGATCATGCAATCAATCATTTTTTTTTCATTGGTCCGTTTTTTTTCATAAGGGGCCCCACACCATGGATTGATTTTGACTCTGATACCATGTTATGACCCGGGGTTCCATCCTAAAAGGTCAACCTGATAGAAGGAGTAGCTAGCCCATGTGTTAATATAGCACTTTGTTCATCCAAATGTTTCCGGTGTGGGACATTTAACAGCAAGTCCTATTTTGAGTTTTTACCGTAGTTTTAGTCCTATTTGGAGTAATTTCTATTTGTATATTTCAAAATAGAACTATCATGTTTTTTTTACCAAAATAGAATTAATTATTCTCATGTTTTTACAGTACCAGAATGACAATATTTTCTATGCTAATTAATCATATTTTGAGAATAAAAATATGGCAATCATATTTTGGGTACTTTCGGGAATTTTTCCAATTATTACTCCCTCCATATTTTTTTGTTTACTACAATAAGTGTTGACACATGTATTGTTTAAGAGTGAAATAGTAGGGGTAATGAATAATGTAGAAAAAGTTGGAAAAGTGGTTTAAAAGTAGGCAGTAACGGTATACGTAAGTACATTTTCATCAAAAAATTCTACCGGGAACCACCCCAAATGGCGGTGGCCGGACAGAGCCTCCTGTATAAGGGATGATTTGCAATTTTTAAGTTAGTTCGAGAACCTATTTGATCCTTTAGTCTGGAAAAGTATGAAAGAGAAGATAAAAGGTAGAAAAAGTAATGATAGTTGAATATTTTTAAAGGAAAAACATAACAAAAAAGAAAAGTGTATCAAATTTTTGAATGCGTCCAAAGTGTACATAGAATACCTAGAAAGTAAAAAAAAAATATGGAGGGATTATTATAACGTACCGATCAATCCGTTCCCTAAATCTGAGAAGAAGATCGTGATGATCTTCTCCCTGAACCCCATTGAGAATGCTCTCCAATAGCACTTCCCTCTCTTGCTTCCGAAGCTTGGTGACGTCCACTTCCTCCGCAACAACTCTACCGCTACCGCCTACTACGGCCGCCGCATGCCTGGTCAGCATTCCTTTCCTCATCCTTTCAAAAGTGGGCAGCCTTTCAATGGCAGCCCACACCAGTTCGTACTCCTCCTCCTCCTCCCGCCGCGAGCTCCGACCGAGCCCACCGTTCTGCCGGAGCCTGCTGCCGGATTGCCAGCTCCGCCAGCTCCCGGAAGCCAAACTCCTCCTGCTACCAGCACTGTATGATATTATGCCATCTTCATCTAACTCTCTCGACATCTTTTATCACGCCGCACATGCACGCTAGTATAGTACAGTACGTATATATATATATATTGAATTGAAGCTAGCTAGCTCAACTCAGCAGAGATGAGATGAGAGCCGATAGATCGAGGATAATATATACTACTACGTCTACATCTAGCTAGCTTAATTCATTCACTACTATACTATACGACTAGCTGAGCTACTTTAATTAATTTAGCGATCGAGCTACTGCTGGGTGCAGGTGCATTAATTGTCTACCTAGCTAGCTAGCTCTCCCATTATATCCGCGAGCGGGTATGCATATATTATGGTTAAACGATGGAACTAGCTAGCTCATGCAATGCATTCTCCGATTCGTAGGTAATTAAGGATACGTATGTATATATCGGGCATTCAAACCATGCTTCCCGGCCCCACCTTACCTCCCCACGCACAGTACACTTAATAATAAATAAATAAGTACATAAATCATTTACTCACTCTAGTGGATCGGAGGAGCTGGCCTGGGGCCGGCATGGGGGGCAACTTACATGCATAATTACGTATTTACTTACTGTCTGCCGACTTCTCATCTAATTCACAGTTATGGAGTATTCGTTTTAGGAGCTGAGTAGTTTATACTCACATGTTCATAGAAAGTTTTATTTGAGAATGAAACACATTGTTGTGTTGAAGGTGAAGAAAACATTTGGTCATTTTCATATCAAATTTCTTAAAAAAGGAACAATCTCAACCACACAACATTAGTTACATCTTTAAATAAAGTACACAATGGATGGATGGCACTAAATGAAGCATCACACTATCATAGTAGCGAATTGCTTTATTATCCTACACATGATCAAATTTCTACCACATGTGTCCCATGGATTGAACACATATATAACATACTTTTACCCATAAACATAAGAGTGTCAAATCAACTCTTCTACTATTATAAAAATGTCAATCAAGTCCACCAACTCAAATATCACTCATTTGAATACTCAAACACCAACTGTGGGGCACCCCCCACAGTTCACTACGGCAGTGCAGAGCCCCACTACTGAGCGGTGGATGGACATGAGGGGCTGCACCACTTCGTGGTGCCAACAGGTTGGGCGGTTAAGCCCTGAATCAAAGGGTGGTGCTGATCTCCCATAAGACCAACAATCACCCCCCCCAGCACCAGCCGAGAGATTCACCTGTGACCTCGCTCTGATACCACTTGTTGGATCGATTCACCCCTGTCGACAAACTTCCCAGTGGGTCACCCATCCTTGGGCTTTCTTACCCCGGGCTCGCTTAACTCCAGAGTTCTGTGGTTAAATAGCAGCCATATCTTTCTTAAAACCAATTGGTGATAAGGAAGTGGACACCCTCTATTTAACCCATTACTCTGTAGTCCCCAAGTCAAGGTAGATTCCTGTGGGGCACCCCCCACAGTTCACTACGGCAGTGCAGAGCCCCACTACTGAGCGGTGGATGGACATGAGGGGCTGCACCACTTCGTGGTGCCAACAGGTTGGGCGGTTAAGCCCTGAATCAAAGGGTGGTGCTGATCTCCCATAAGACCAACATTACCCCCTTATTTCTTTATTTCTTCTTCCCCTATTTGTCTTATCACCGCCTGTAAGTATAGTTGTGTTCGTCGGGTGTCTGTGTCAGCTCCCAATAGCTTTCGTGTTCTGTTGGGAATAACATGCAGGATCCTGCTAATATGAGAAAAAAACACTTTGTTATGTAATATGTGGATGTCCATTACTCCCCGGTCCATATGTATTATTAGGGTTAAGCCCATTAACTAGCATCACCCTAATTCCCATGTATATATGTGCTATGTGCTAATGAAGAGGATAACTTTTGGGTTCGCTCTATATAACACACTTCTATTACTTTCAATTCAAGAATAGAAAGAAGAGACATACAAGAAAACTCTCAAAACCACCTCACATATCTCTCAAGGATAATTACAACTCTTCTTGGTTATGCTATGATAATCTATGATCTAATTTATTTGATGATAGAAAGACTCTCCAAACTTTTCTATTTATAGCACCAAAAATAGGTACTAAGAAGGTGGAAGAAAAGTGTGATTAAACATGGGGAAGCTTCAATGGTGGTCGAGGAAGCTCCCCTTGTCATTCTTGCACATTGAGGAAGCTTCATGAAAGCTAAGAATTGGATTCTTCAATTTGCTTGTACTTGGATATGTCCTGGAAATTAAATCCTTCAATTCTCCCCTTCCGGGCATATTCAAAACAAGCATCCCGACTATGTCTCTGCACAGCTCTAGCTTAACTCGTGTCACCACCTTTGTCAGCAGGACTGATGGATTCTCCTTTGTATTGATCTTCACTAGTCTCAACAGTTGTAGATCAATCGTCTACTGTATCAATCGTCTGATGCTTTGCACGAGAATGGTACATGGAGTTCTTGCTCAAGTCTAGAGTACACTGACTGTCACAATGTACCTTGTACTCTTTCTGTTGGATCCCAAGTTCTTGGAGAAAGCGCTTTAGCCACAACATTTCCTTACCAGCTTCAGCGGCTGCAATGTATTCTGCTTCTGTTGTAGATAAAGTGACACTTCTGCAATCTTGTTTGCCAAGAAACAGCCTGTCACGCCCCGGACCTACTCGGACACGTCAACAACCCGTCGTACAACATGAATAGTCAACCATAGTCAACCACATCCATATTATACCAGGCGTCATGAATATCATTCACACATAAGTCATCCATAAACATATATACATAATAAACAATTCAATACACAACGGAAAACATAGTTTAAAATCAATGTCACACAGGGCAATCATGAGCACGCAGGCCCTAAAGTAAAATATCCATGAGCAAATCTATTAATGTTTCAAATAGAATGGAGGAAGCACGAACCAAGTCTTCTCTCCGAGGGATCACTCAATCAACGAGCACATGATGCAAGCTCTAGCCTCAACCTAAAATGGTGGTGGGACGCCCCCGAAGGGGTCAGTACTCTATAGGGCTATAAAGTACTGGTGTGGATGGCATCTAATAGATATACAACAAGTACTTCAAACACAAGACCCTCAAATAGGGTGATAGTACAATATGGTTGTAACCCTAAGTTACCCCGTTTGAAAATATACTTACTTTATATAAAAGTCAAGTAGTCGGCCCGTGGGCCCATGTTCATTTAGAAATCACCATTCCCATTCCCCGTGACTATAAGCCACGACAACTCATAGAGTCCAACCCTAATACATGACATTGTATTCTAGAGCTCGGATCTATCACATCACCATACAATTCATGTCACTTGGGTCAATTTCTTTACCTTGCGTACTAGAGCTCGGCTCTATCACATCACCACGCAAGCCCTAGAGCTCGGCTCTAGTTATACAATACATAGACTACAAGTGTACCACCTTACCATGCATCCTAGAGCTCGACTCTATCACATCACCATGTACCAAGGTCCAATTCCTAATCAAACCTATGCCTAGAATTGACATATCAATAAAATACCATGGGTCATCCTTGAAGGCTGCCCATAACTTAACCTTAGCTTCATACTAAGTCATTATATACACTTGAAGTATATTCAAGTGCCTTTCATGCAATCCAATCCCTAGGATCAATTCTATCAACAATTTCCAATAACCACTAACTAGTATTTCAATACTATTAAGATTATTATTATCATACAAATATTCTCCTTTTTTGTAATTCTCTACATATTTATAATTATGTAGCAGCATCTTAAGTATTCACTCTCAATACATAAAGATCCATTTATGTATCCACATAATTCATACATGAGTAAAATGCCTATTTCACACAATAGTTCATTTATAACTCATTTAATCTCATATTATTCATACAACCTCAAATCATTCCCAATTTCATTCTTTGGCAACTATATCAATATTTCATCAATATTTAATCATCATAATCCATGAAAAATTATGATTTAGGAATTTAGGTAATCTCATGCTTAACCTACAAGTTGTAAGCAATTAGATGTCGATCTTCACCTTAATTGAGCTTTAAACTTTTCCTTCTTGATCCAACGGTCAAAGCTTCGGTCAAGGTGGATTAAGGACTGATTCCTTGCTTAAATATGAGTGTTAAAAATCCTCCTCAAAGTGCTAGCTCAACCCCTAAACGTCGATACGAAAACAGCCCCTAGAATGGGTGTTTTCCGGCGAACTCCGTTCCTAGTCTTTCCAAGATTTGCTCTAGGTTAGTATCTAACATTTACATCAATAAAATAACTTTGTAAGGACATAATATACACTTGGAGTAGTGTATAATAGTTCCACCAATCGTTCATATCAATTGGAAAATGAAAGGAAAGGTTTTGGGGTTTAAACTCACTTTAAAAGAGTAAATCCGTTTCTGCGAGGTTGTGTTTTGCTCGGACGTTTTGGAAGCCTTCCACTACTCCGATTGATGCAAACCAGACCTTCACGGGTTCCTCGTCTTGAGAGATTTCTTTTGGTATTTTATACGCTTTATTTGGACGAGTGAAACGCAAGTTATAGATCAAACAAGCAGCACTACGTACTGAAGAACGAAGCTGCGGACTGCTCTCTTCCTTCCTTCTCTCTTGAGTTGTGTGGATCCTTTTTTTCTATTATCTCTTTGGGGTTCGAATGGGGTGTAGGGGGAGTGTATAGGAGGCCTCAATCATGATAAGATAGCATGTGGTTCACACAAAAGAAGGGTAGGATGTTTGATTGCAATCAAACATGGTGTGGACCTCCTCTTTTATTTCCTTTTTGTAATGTTGTAGCTCTTAAGTCAAAATGTCCGCCCCACATAGTTGTCTCACCCATTTTTCTTTTTCTTGCAGGTACCAAGGTCATTTGGAATGGTTACCAAATGATCACATTCAATTTGGGGTCCAAAATACCTACCAATACTTCCAAAATGAAAAGATGGATCCTATTGTTTTATCTTTGTCATGAGATGTCTTTTTGTACTCATTATAATTTATGTATGCCAAGTTAACTTCATACATCATATTATTGATCCCCAATATGTGTAGGATCATCCCAATAATTTACATGATGAATATTATAGAAGGAAAAATCATACTCTCATTATTTAGCTCAATA